TATAACATTCTTTTCTTCAACTAATCTTCAATTATTCTCCCCAAAGCAATTACCTGTTTAATATAAGTGTGTAGTTGTATAATGGAGCAAATGTAATCATGATTCTTTTGTTGTAGAGATGGATTTTTTTTTCTCTTATTTTCTTTCGGTAATTTCTAAGTCAAGTTTCCTTATTTTGAATGATAATACTTTTGTGACTCCTTGATAACCTTTGGTTGTTTTTTTTTTTTTTGGCTTTAAAGAACAAAAAATTATTTTCTCAGTTCTGGAAGAAGTATGAACTTATGGCACCAGCAGAGCTATGGTCTCTCGCTCTGTGGATACTAGGGGAAGATCCTTCCTGGTTTCCTTCAGCTTTTGGTACTCCTGGGTGTTTCTTGCTGTTCCTTGACTTGTAGATGGATCCTCGCATGCTGTCTCCCTTTTATGTTTTTCTAAAAGGCATTACAAGTTTTATTTCTTTTTCCCTGAAATATTCTTCATCTACCTGAGTGAGTAAATGACAATATTATACTCTACAAAAATTTGCCACTTTCTGAAAAATACAAAATAAATAGATAAAAAATAAAAATAAAACTTTCACTTTATAAAAATACAGGGAATTAAGATTTCCATCTTTTTGTAAAATAAATTTGTAGTTCCAGGCTGTTTCCTGGCTCTTCTTTGGAATTCAGGTCATTTAATCTATTGTTAAAAAGAATGTCTTAATTTTTTCTAAATACTGACGATTTCACTGTTACTTTCTTTTCACCCCTCCCATCTCAGAGCCAGTAAGTCTTTGACACATTATTACAAAATAATAGACCATCTTATTCATCTTACCAATGATAAAATTCACTGACAATGTAAAAGAAAGTGTACTATAAGAACAGTGAGTACAAGAATAAGTTCCTTGTCTTTTATCATGTTAACCGAGAGCAGCAAGAAGTCAGTAATGAATAAACTCTCTGATACAAAAACGTGAGAAAATTGAGTCACAAGGAAAATAAATATCACAGTTTACATTCTTCACAAGATCTTCTCTTAAATATCATCTCTGGTGGTGTAGTGTCTAAGGCATTTGACTGCTAACCCACCAGCCACTGCTGGGAAGGAAGACTGGGCAATCTATTTCCATAGAGATACCACCTTGGAAACCCAAGGAGGGGTTGCTATGCGTCAGAATGGACTCGATGACTATTTGTTTTTGTTTGTTTGTTTGTTTGTTGGTGTTTGAATAAAATGCACATGATGTGCATACCTCCTTAACAGAGTACTACTGGCTTTGCTGTGAGATACTGACTTCACTCTTAGTATTTCAACAGTGAAAGACTAAGTAGCAAAAACAAGGATAGAGTGGAATTTTACATAACAGGACCTATAAAGCAACTCACTTAAAACAATGTACTGGAAGCCTGATCTCATCTAACCTGACTGTCCAGTGAGATTTTCCTCTACAGAACAGGACATATTTTTGAAAAGGGTATTTAAACACTCCATGTGAATTATATTAATAGAGGGAGATATTGTTGCAGATAGCCAGAAAATGTGGCTAAACTTCACAAACTCTAGTAAATCCCAGGTAGTGAGGGACAGCGCCTAGAGCATGGTAGTTACTTAAAAAAAAAACTTCATGGTTTACCAGAGGCCCTAAAGTACTGAGATGGCAAGAATTCAGGTCTGCCATAAAATACAGTGGGAATATGAACTACCTCAAAATGCTGCTGCTCATACAGATTGAATATTCAGCCACTATACATGGAAGGTTGGGTAATCTACTTCCATAGTGATAATGCCTCGAAAACCCAAGTAGGGGTTGCTATGAGTCAGGTCCGACTTGATGGCAAATAACAACAACAACATACATATAATGAGGAGCTCTGGTAGCGTAGTGCCTAAGGCACCTGACTGCTAACTAGAAGGCTGGCAGTTCAAACACACCAGCCACTCCTCAGAGGGTAGGTGGGCAATCTACTTCTGTAGTGATACTGCCTCGTAAACCCCAGGAGGGGTCGCTATAAGTTGGGTCCGACTCAACAGCATATAACAACAACACCATACATATAATGAAAAACAGTTGAAGCAGTACACTGACAAGGAACTTCCAGAAATTCAAGCTGGATTCCAAAGAGGATGTAGAATGAGAGGGATATCATTGCTGATGTCAGATGGATCTTGGCTGAAAGCAAAGAATACCAGAAAGGTGTTTATCTGTTTTTTATTGACTATGCAAAAGCATTAGACTGTATGGATTATAACAAAGTATGGATAATATTGCAAAGAATAGGAATTCCAAAAATCTTCATTGTGCTCATGAGGAACCTGTACATAGAGCAAATAGCTGTCATTCAGTCAGAACAAGAAAATGCTGCATGGTTTAAAATCAGGAAAGGTATGCATCAGGGTTGTATCCTTTCACCATACTTATTGAATCCGTATGCTGAGCAAATAATGCGAGAAGATGGACTACATGAAGAAAAATGCAGCATCAGGATTGGAGGAAGACTCATTAACATGAGTTTATACACAGATGACACAACCTGGCTTTCTAAAAGTGAAGATGACTTGACACACTTACTGATGAAGATCAGACACTACAGCCTTCAGTATGGACTACACTTCAACAAAAAGAAATTGAAAATTCTCACAAATGGACCAATAAGGAGCATCACAATAAACAGAGAAATTGAGGTTGTCAGATATTTCATTTTACTTGGGTCCACAGTCAATGCCCATGGAAGCAGCAGTCAGGAAATCAGACATCGTACTGCACTGGGCAAAGGTGCTGCAAAACACCTGTTTAAAGTGCTAAGAAGCAAAGATGTCACTTTGAAGATTATGATGCGCCTAAGCCATGCCATGGTTATTTTCAATAGCCTCATATGCATGTGAAAGCTGGACAATGAATAAGGAAGAAAGATGAACTGACACCTTTGAATTGTGGTATTGCAAAGAACACTAAAGGAAAATACCATGGATTGCCAGAAGAACAACACATCTGTTCTAGAATAAGTGCAGCTGGAATGCTCCTTAGAAGCAAAAATGGCCAGACTTTATTTCACCTACTTTTGGTCATGTTATCAGAAGGGACT